ATGGAGACAAATGAAAACAATAATTCACACCACAAAATCTGTGGGACACAGCCAAGGCTGTGCTAAGAAGAAAGTATATTGCAATACAGGCCTACCTTAGGAAAGAAGAACAATCCCATATAAGCAGTGTAAACTCACAATTAATGAAACTAGAAAAAGAACAACAAATGAGGCCCAGAGTCAGTAGGAAGAGGGACATAATAAAGATTAGAGCAGAAATAAATAAAATTAAGAAGAATAGAACGATAGAAAGAATCAATGAAAGCAAGAGCTGGTTCTTCAAGAAAATAAACAAAACAGATAAACCCCTAGCCAGACTTATCAAGAAAAAAAGAGAGTCTACTCACATAAACAAAATCAGAAATGAGAAAGGAAAAATCACTAAGGACACCACAGAAATACAAAGAATTATTAGAGAATACTATCAAAAATTATATGCTAACAAATGGGATAACCTAGAAGAAATGGAAAACTTTTTAGAAAAATACAACCTTCCAAGGCTGACCAAGGAAGAAACAGAAAATCTGAACAGACCAATTACCAGCAACAAAATTGAACTGGTAATCAAAAATCTACCTAAGAACAAAACCGCTGGACCAAATGGCTTCACTGCTGACTTTTATCAAACATTTAGTGAAGACCTAATACCCATTCTCCTTAAAGTCTTCCAAAATATAGAAGAAGAGGGAATACTTCCAAACTCATTCTATGAGGCCAGCATCACTCTAATATCAAAACCAGGGAAAGACACCACAAAAATAGACCAATATCCCTATGAACATAGATGCAAAAATATTCAACAAAATATTAGCAAACCAAATTCAAAAATACATCAAAAAGATCATCTATCATGATCAAGTAGGATTTATTCCAGGGATGCAAGGATGGTACAACATTCGAAAATCCATCAACATCATCCACCACATCAACAAAAAGAAGAACAAAAACCACATAATCATCTCCATAGATGCTCAAAAAGCATTTGATGAAATTCAACATCCATTCATGATAAAAACTCTCAACAAAATGGGAGTAGAGGGCAAGTACCTCAACATAATAAAGGCCATATATGACAAACCCACAGCCATCATCATATTTAACAATGAGAAGCTGAAAGCTTTTCCTTTAAGATCGGGAACAAGACAAGGATACCCACTCTCCCCATTTCTATTCAACATAGCACTGGAGGTCCTAGCCATGGCAATCAGACAACACAAAGAAATAAAAGGCATCCAGATTGGCAATGAAGAAGTTAAACTGTCCCTGTTTGCAGATGACATGATTCTGTACATAAAAAACCCTAAAGAATCCACTCCAAAACTACTAGATGTAATATCTGAATTCAGCAAAGTTGCAGGAGAACAAAATTAATATGCAGTAATCTGTGGCATTCCTACACACTAACAATGAACTAGCAAAAAGAGAAATCAGGAAAACAATTCCATTCACAGTTGCATCAAAAATAATAAAATACCTAGGAATAAACCTAACCAAGGAGATGAAAGACCTATACTCTGAAAACTACGAGACACTCATGAGAGAAATTAAAGAAGATACCAATAAATGGAAACACATCCCATGCTCATGGATAGGAAGAATTAATATTGTCAAAATGGCCATCCTGCCTAAAGCAATCTACAGATTCAGTGCAATTCCTATCAAAATACCAATAGCATTCTTCAACGAACTAGAGCAAATAGTTCTAAAATTCGTATGGAACCACAAAAGACCCCAAATAGCCAAAGCAATTCTGAGAAGAAAGAATAAAGCAGGGGGGATTATGCTCCCCAGTTTCAAGCTCTACTACAAAGCCAAAGTAATCAAGACAATTTGGTACTGGCACAAGAACAGACCCACAGACCAATGGAACAGACTAGAGAGCCCTGATAAAAACCCAAGCATATATGGTCAATTAACATACAATAAAGGAGCTATGGACATACAATGGGGAAATGACAGCCTCTTCAACAACTGGTGTTGGCAAAACTGGACAGCTATATGCAAGAGAATGAAAGTGGATTATTGTCTGTCCCCATACACAAAAGTAACTTCAAAATGGATCAAAGACCTGACTGTAAGTTATGAAACCATAAAATTCTTAGAAGATAACATAGGCATAAATCTCCTGAATATAAACATGAGCAAGTTTTTTCTGAATGCATCTCCTCGAGCATGGGAAACAATAGCAAAAATATACACATGGGACTACATCAAACTAAAACCTTCTGTACAGCAAAGGACACCATCAACAGAACAAAAAGGCATCCTACAGTATGGGAGAATATATTTGTAAATGACATATCTGACAAGAGGTTAACATCCAAAATATATAAAGAACTCAGACGCCTCAACAACCCAAAAAGCAAATAACCCGATTATAAAATGGGCAGAGGATATGTACATACAATTCTCCAAAGAAGAAGTTCGGATGGGCAACAGGCACATGAAAATATGCTCCACATCACTAATTATTAGGGAAATGCAAATAAAAATCACAATGAAATATCACCTCACACCAGTTAAGATTGCCAGCATTGAAAATATTAAGAACAAGAAATGCTGTTGAGGATGTGGAGAAAGGGGAGCCCTCCTACATTGCTAGTGGGAATGTAGCTAGTTCAACCATTGTGGAAAGCAATATGGAGGTTCCTCAAAAAACTAAAAATAAAAACACCATTTGACCCAGAGTTCCACTCCTAGGTATTTACCCAAAGAAAACAACTTCTCAGATTCAAAAAGACGTATGCACCCCTATGTTTATTGCAGCACTATTTACAATAGCCAAGATATGGAAGCAACCTAAGTGTCCATCAGTAGATGAATGGTAAAGAAGATGTGGTACATATACACAGGGGAATACTATTCAGCCATAAGAATGAAACAAATCCTACCATTTGCAACAACATGGTGTTGGAGGATATTATGCTCAGTGAAATAAGCCAGGCAGAGAAAGACAAGTACAAAATGATTTTCCTCATTTGTGGAATATAACAATGAAGCAAAACTGAAGGAACAAAACAGCAGCAGACTCACAGAACCCAAGAGGGGACTAGTGGTTACAAAAGGAGAGGGTTATGGGAGGATGAGTGGGGAGGGAGGGAGAAGGGGATTCAGGGGTATCATGATTGGCACACATAGTGTGGGGAGATCATGGGGAAGACAGTGTAGCACAGAGAAGGCAAATAGTGACTCTGGCATCTTACTACACTGATGGGCAGTGACTGCACTGGGGCATGGAGGAACACATTGTTTTTCATGTGAAACTTTCGTAAGAGTGTATATCAATAATACCTTAATAAAAAAAAAAGAAGAAGCCGGATTGCCGTGAGAACACCATGTTGTGAGGGAGTCCAAGAACAAAGAAATTACATGTGGGGATTCTGGCCCTCAGTGCCAGGTGAGCCCAGCCATAGGTGCCAGTCCAGGTACCAGACACAAGAATGGAGAAACCATCTGAGTCTCCCCAACTGAGGGTCCAGAAATTGTGAAGCAATGAAGCAGAAACAAGCCATCTCCACATTGCTGGTCCAAATTCCTGACCCACAGAATCTGACCCATGGAATCTATTAGCCTAATTGACTTGTCGTTTTGCCGCTAAATTTGGAGTGGTTTGTTACATTGCAGCAGATAGACAAAACATCCTGTAATTTGTCAGAGGCCACAGCTGGCAGGCCTAGGAGGCATCTGTTTTATTTTAAATAAGATGGATTTCTATTGTTTCTTGGCTACTCAGTGTCCATATGGCATTCCTAACTCTTTTGATAAAATCAGTTAAAAATCTCTTAATCTTTCCAGCAACTTGGCAGATTGGATACCTTGAACAATCGTCCTAATTGAAAACACTAGAAATGCTAAAAAGTTGTAAAACATCTTTGAAAACACACTGGTGACCAGGTGATAAATTTGCAAAGAATTAAAAAAAAAGAGAGAGAAAAAGAGAGAGCTAGAACCCTGACAGGTCAATGAGCAGCAAACCTGACTTTTATACTATTAATCCCTGGAAAACTTGAGCTTTGACAGCTACCTGAAGCAGTAAAGATAGATAAATCCTAGGGCCTGCCAGAGCCTGGAGAATGCTAGAAGGAAACTCATCTAGGACCCCAAAATTTCCACTCAGAAAAATGCTGAATAATAAAAGCCACCACACAGAAGGGAACAGCAAAACATATATGCCTCTGATCAAGTCCTGATTTTATAGAAATATCCAAACCCCTTACTTACCACAGCACAAATTCACCCTCAATCTTGCCTTAAGTCACCATGAGTTCAACCTCAAGTTACAGCCCCTAAATCATACCCACGAGCCACTCACCTTGCTACCAGTTGTTTGCCCGTTTATCCTCTAGTCTATACCTTTGCAAGTGCTGTCCTCTCTGCTTAGACTACACTTTTTTCTTCTTACGATAAGGAAAATATTCAACACAGCCGTCAAGGTCAGCAAACCGCTTTTTTCCTCCAGTTGGCAAAGCACTCCCAGCTCCCTCCTCCCCTTCTCCAGGCTCCTCTTTTGCCCTGCGCATGCCGAAATGTCACATATCAAAATAATATAAACTGCTCCCCTTGCTTGTGCTCAGGGTTCAGACCTTGGGAGATTATTCCCCTCTGAGCCTGCCGGTGTAAAATAAAACCTCAACACTCCAAAACCTCCCAGTGCCGCTTGGTTCTTCCGTCAGTGATCCAGTCCAGGTTTTCCAGTATTTTCTGTAATAGTTAAGAAAGTAATTACTCTTCTTCAAGTGCACCAGTTATAGGAAGCCTGTTTCCCATAGTTCACTGCTTCCTCCGTTGTACTCCCAGTGTCTTGGATGTGAGATAATTATAGAGTATTCTACATTGTTTTAATAATTTCAGGTTCTGGTTTTTGTTTTGCATTGCACTGTGAGTTTGGGGCAGTAACTGTTTTAGGATTTTATATTCTTTGTGTAATCCTGTCTTCCCTGAAGCTCACTGGTTCAGTGGTACTCGGTGGTAATTCTTAGCTTTAGCTGCACATTAAAATCACCTACATATCTTTGCGAACTCTCGCTCGTCATAGGGCCCAAGCATCTACATGTCCAAAGGAGTTTCAGGTGACTCCAGCGTACAGTCAAGGTTGATTATCCCTGAGGAGTCTCCAACCGAGGGCAGCAGGAAGCGAGTCAAGGAAGACAGGCTGGTGTGCGCTCAAACTCGGGAGCGTAGGGCCGGCTGCCAAGTTACATACACAAATATCCTGGGCTCTTTTCTTTCGGCGCAAAAATGTGCACGTATCTTGCCTCAGGCCCTGTTCCGTTCTCAGAACCAAATTCTGCGTCTCTGTGGCCCAAATTCAGAATTAAATTCCTGAAAGTGGACACGATGAAGCAGAACAAGCCCCTTCCGAGAGCCAGAAGACCCGACCTTGCGGGTATCCACCTGCGGGGTAAACCAGGGGTAGGGACGGGTCCCAAGGATCAAAGAGACACATTTCTTTCGGACGGCCCTTCCATCGTAAGTCAGGAGGGGCGTGAGAGCACACGTAGGCAGAATTTCCAGAGTGACCATAAGCCTCCTATGCATCCACAGCAGTTCCTTTCCGGCTACCGCGACCGTCCGCTTCACCGCCACCGACCTATTATGTAGAGGAGTACGCTAGAGCGGATTTTTCAGACGTCATATTAAAAAGCACCGACCGCTGAGCCTTCTGGGGAATGGAGTCTGTACGAAGGTCGAAAGTTGACTGGGAGTGCGGACGTCAGACCCCTTTGCGCAGGCGTATTGCTTTCCCGATCTGAAGAGGCCCAGTCTTCCCGGGTCCAGAACCCTGTGCGCCGGAGGTGAGGGCTGTGGGTGTGTGACTTGGAGATGCAGAGTGAGCGCAGCGGCCAAGAGAAGGGGACACTGAGAACTGGGGGGGGAGGTGCTGTGGCAGTAGAACGTAGTGACGCGGGCGGAGCCAGTCTGCAGTGTGTGTCTGTGTGGCGACGTCCCGGCTGGAAGAGGCACGGACGGAAAGTTGCCCCTCCCCCTATACTCGTGTGTGCGCGTGTTCCGTGGGGTGTAGGGGGGAGGTGCTGTGGCAGTAGAACGTAGTGACGCGGGCGGAGCCAGTCTGCAGTGTGTGTCTGTGTGGCGACGTCCCGGCTGGAAGAGGCACGGACGGAAAGTTGCCCCTCCCCCTATACTCGTGTGTGCGCGTGTTCCGTGGGGTGTAGGCACTGTTAACGAGTGGTCTTTCAGAGTGCACCCACTGTGTGTCAGATCCCAACTTTCAGGTTGGAAGTTTGGAGCCCTTTCCCGCCCGTCCCACCCCTTCTTCTCTTAAGAAAGAGCTTTTAATAAACGTGGGTGGAACTGATACTAGATCTAGGGTGCTGCCCACTCCAGTCCTTCCCTCTTTCCCAGAAAGCGCCTTAGAGTTTCTCGTTTAGCTCCCTGCCTTGGGTTTCTGCACGAGTGATCACAAGACCTTCATGTTGGAGGTAGGAGTTAATGTGGAAAAAAAAAAAAACCACGAAAAATGTAGCAAAGCGCTGGGCAGATTTAAGAGGGAGATGATTCTTACTGGAGTGAAGTGTCCAGGAGCAGTGGGAGACGAGGATGAAAAGAAGTATAATGAGCCAGGGCATCGAAGATGAGGATGTGACACAGTCAGCAGGGTTGGAATCCGCAGTAGGTGGATTGCACGAGTCGATCTAGGGACTGAAGAGAATAAAACGGCCCCATCCAGCACTGGAGAGAAGAAGGTACTAGTGGCAAGGAGCCAGTTAGGGCTGTGTGGTAGTGGTAGTAGTCCTGTTGTGGGCCTGAGTTATGATGATGTCATTGGTAGGGAAGGGTATGCATGACATGAAAAAGAGTCAAGGACCTGATGACCAACTAGATTTGGGAGGAAAGAGAGCAAGGTAAGAGACTGAATTTGGAGCACCTGGGAAAATAATAGAACACCTGACAGAAATGTAAAGCCAGAGAGAGCAGTTGAGGTGGGGAGGTGCATAGATGAAAATGGTCTTGAGGTGCTGGTAGAATGCCTAATTCAAAATTTGCAGTCATTTGGAGATGCAAAATGAGTTTGGAAGAAGGACTGGGACTAGACTGGCGAACCATCTCTGTAGAGTTAGAAAATGGAGTGCCAGGTGTGCATGGACTTTCTGAGGGATAACAAGAACACTGTACAAAGACTGGACCTTGGAGAGCATCCATATTTCCAGGGCAAGATTGGGAAAAAAAGTCACAGATGGCAGTTTTAGCAGTAGGAGGACAGTCGGGCTAGTGCAATGTCAGCAGCTACAGTGACTACTGAAAGAAGGAGAAACTTGTCAAAACAGTCAAAAGCTGCAGAGAAATAAAGATGAGAAAAGGACTAGTGGAAGTAGATCAGAAATACATTGGTGATTTTCGAGCGTGCAGTTTGAGGTTGTGAAAGGTGTCAAGAGCAGAATAACAGATTCAGGAAGAGTAGATGTTAATAACATGGGGTCAGTGAGGTATGGATCAAACTCTCATCCAAGAGTTTGATCATGAAAGGAAGACATCAGTGATACCTTTTTGCTAGAAGGAGGCCATAGGATTCAGTGAGATGGTTTCAGGTAGAGAAGGATTGTATCTGAAGATATGAGAAGAAGCTACTGGAGAGATGGGCGCTGCTGGAGAAAGAGAGACTGGGTAATGCAGGGAGCAGATCTGAGAGGGAAAGAAAGTAGGACACAGATGGGGGAAGCTAAGGTGAAGTCCTGGAAACTGACAGATTGTGGTATTGTTGACCTTACACCCCAGGCTGCCTGGCACATAACAGGTACCTGGAAATATTGAATGGTAAGATGAACAGATTGGTGTAGGGCAGTAGAAGAGAAAGGAACGTTCATTTGTTGAACAGGCTGTAAGAGAAATGCTTAATATTAATTGTCTCATTTATGACTACTCTGTGAAGTAGCTATTAAACAACTGGGGATCAACTGTTAGCTTAAGTAATCTGCCCAAGCCTTCACAGTTAATAATTCCAGGCCTTTGGAATGTTTTTTACCATGCAGTCGCCTTTGAACTCACTCTTGTGGAGCTCGCTGTAGTAAAAGGCTGAAAAGGTTCTGCTGAAATTGAATGATAGCCATAGATATTTGGAATAACTATGTAGCTAGGATGGGAACAGTAAAAGCTTCCTAGGCAAGGGCTCATTTGAAGAACTATAATAAGAATTTGAAGAGCATTTTCACCAGAAATATTCTGAGATCCAAGAACAGGAAAGAGAAAACAAGTGAAGGTGACCTGTTGCTGGCAGTGACTCCAAGTAAATTTGGTGGATTTGGGGAGTCTCAAGTGTCATTGAGAGCTTACTGAAGCGACTGTCTGGGGAGACTAAACCTAATGGGGACTGAAGTCTGCCTGGCAGGGAGCCCACCGATGATGAGCACCTTGGGAAGATCAACTGGTTGTTTAATGGCTGGGGAGCTTTTATGCTCACCACCATCTGTAATTTGTTCAATAATCAGCTTATTAAAGTCATAATCTAATAAACGAAACTTTGAAAATTGTCTTTAAGCATTTAAACATTGAGCAGTTTCAACTACGATTTCAAATGCAGTTCGACTACTTTGAAAAACCTAAACACCAGATAACATATACAAATAATTTGATTCCAGTGTTATTGCTACACTTATACTTGCTACTGTAAAACAGCAGCAACACAATGTACTTAATATTTTCACTGTTTCTGCCTTCCTAGGATTATAACAAGACTCCTAGCTAAGGCTAACACTAAGCTCATTATTCTAAATGCTTTCTACATATTATCCTGTTTAAGCATCACAATAACTGTATAAGATAGGTACTTTTCATTATTCCAGTTTTATAGATGGGTAAAGTGAGACACAAGTTAACTAATGTGCCTAAGGTGGTACAGGTAGAAAGAGGTAGTGCTGGAATTTTATTTCAGGCAGTCTGCCAGACCTGTACTCTGAAGGATTGAACTCACCTGTATCTCTAAATACTAATTTTGATAACTCCCTAGGGCCCAAGTGTAATATTTTGAGACCCTCCTGGGGATGGAGGAATCTTAACAGACCAGCAAGAAAAGAATATGGTCTTAATACAAGTTACAGGGTCCTGATGATATATTTTTGTTTCTATTTGTGTATATATCACTCTGCCTCCTTCTAGCAAGATTCAAACTCTAGTCTCTTCCTTAGGTTAAGCTCCTTTTTATAGATAGACTGAACTTGTTTTTCCAGTAAGCGTTTTTTTTTTTTAAGTTTTTACCTTTCACAAAGTTTCAAATGTTTTTGCAAACTGGTGTTTACCCTCACGGTGATAATCTTTTAAAGATATGTTTGGCTGCTCTTAACCCATTGTCTAGTAAATGTATATTGATACGGTCTTTTGGTGTTTTTGAAAACTTACCTTATTAGTGTCTCATGATTAATAAGGCCAGCTGGAGGGCTCGTCTCCCAAGGGAGGAAGGATTAAGTCTGCATGGTTAACCTCGCCTCTTTAGAATCTGCAGTTGGTTCCTTATTAGGAATGCATGTTCCTCTGTCTACCTGACCCCAATACTGATTAGTCTTCTGTTTGGGGTACCTAGTTCCTCTTTCTGGATTACTTGGCTTGTCCCCATTCCCTGGGTTTCTTTTTTTATGCTTATATGAATAGATACAAGTATGTATCATAAAGATAAATCTACACTTTATGAATAGTTTAGTCACAGTTAGTAGAAAAAAAGCTATATGATTAAAGGCTTAAACCTTGCCTTCTTTATATTACAACCATTTAGAAAATATATTAACTTTCCTATTTTGAGTATGAAATTCATGGTCTTTCAAAATTCAAATTACTTCATTTAGCAATAATAATTTTTACAACTTGGACAGTGGGAGCCAGAGTCATCTGATTTTTCCTATCTGAGATTCTCAAACTCTAAATGCCCAAAACCTGCTACCTCTCTGTTGCTCTATCCACGCCAGTGCTCAGATCATTGACCTGGGGGTCATCCTGGCCTCTCCTATCACCTCCAGTCAGTCTTGTCTATTTTTAATATCTTAATAGTAGTAGTTCCTCTGCTCTCCATTTCTGCTGCTACTATTTTCCTTCAGTTCATCATTTCTTTCTTAATTGTAACAGATTCCTCACTGATCTATTCACCTCCATTCTTGCCTTCCTCCAATTCCATTCTGCCACAGCTATCCAGAGTGGCATGGCTGCTTGTGTCAGCCCTGAGGTCACCCCGCATACATGGATTTGCTGGAAGGACTCAATTCAGCCTACAGTTGCACTCATGGCTTAGGTTTTGACAGTGATCTTGCAAGGATGCATAGCTAGGTCATAAGAGGAAGAGACAGGCAGAGCCTGGAGGAATCCATGTGTAAGCTTCCTCATGCTCTACCCCTTCCAACGAGGGGTTACACAGAGCACATCTCTTCCAGCAATGAAAATGCAACATGTGTGATGTTTCAGCCCAAAGAAGCTCACTGGAGACTCAGAGCCCATCTTTTTATTGAGGGCTGGTCACAGAAGCATCCTCTGCCTAGCACCTACCAAAATTTCAGACCCTCAAGCAAGAAAGCAAGTGTTCAGCATAAATGACATTGTTTGCACAAATGCTTTAGGTATAAGGGACCTTATCTCATGGGGAGCCCTCTTCTCGAAGTTCTGAGATCCCAGCTAGGGGCCAACCTTGCAAGAAGACCCTTCTAAGAATAGCAGTTCTTAGGTCTTCTCTAACTTTTCTTCACACCACCTTTCCTTCATTCCTGTTTTTTTCCTTATACCAAAGTAGATACACACTCTTATTAAAAAATATATATAAAGAATTGTAAAAAAATCACTTGTAATGCCACCACTCAAATTCTATTTACATTTTAGTATACTAAGTCTTTTCTGTACATATGTGCATGCACAAATATGCAATTTAAAAAGTGCATTCTCCACTTAATATTTAGTGAATTTTTTAAAAATTTATTTAACAAAAAAAATTACAAACAAAATTGAAGTCTCTTAGTTATCTCTCCCCAATCCCATTTCCCACCCTTGCCAGAGATACAATTTGGTGCTTATTGTCCCATACAGATTTTTGTAAATATTACCTGTTTTAAATTTTATATTAAATACTACACAGGTGATTCTATAACATTATTTTTTGCTCAGTAATTATATTTTTGCTATTTATTATTAACATCAGGCTCTAGTTTATTCATCTCAATGTGTAATCTTTCTATACACACACACATTCATAATTATCAATATTTAAGTCATTTGTAATTTATCACAAGGGATCTTTTCCCCAGGAACTTTTAGTGTCACCTGAGTCATATATCAAGCTTCCCTACATGTGTGGATATGTTTGGGGATTTTCTAGTCTATTGGTCTATCAACTATGTGACTATTTTTTCATGAAAATAAATCATTACAGCATAGAGCTTAAAAACTACTAGACAGACCTGGATTCAAATTCTCCCTCAGCCTCTTATGAAGACTAAATTTCCCAAATTGTAAAACTGTACCTTCTTTATTGATTTATGAGGCTGGAATTAATTTATCCTTCTAAGGAATACTTATCATAGTGCCTGCTTGTTGAATAGCAGATGCCCAATAAATGCCAGTTATTAGTATGATGTTTAGCGATATTCCATTGTATAGATTGCCTGGGCCATAAATTGATCAAATCTCCTATTTTAGAAACTCGAGATATTTCAAAATGTCCCTGTATTATTATAAGGATTAAATTAGATAATGCATGTAGAATGCTTAGGTTGCCACACATAGCACTAAATAAAATAAAACTATGTGCAAGTTTTGCACATATTCTTTCATATTTCTTTAGAATGAACTTTAGGAGAGAATTAGTGGGTCAAAGAGTATGTATATTTCAAAGTATGTATATTTCAAGGCCGTTGATACAAATTGAAATGATATTCTAGAACAGGAACACAAATAGGATGACACTTACCAACGCTTAAATCCTTCAGTGATACCCATGCCAAGAAAACTCCCCTTGATCTAGCTGGCCTCTGCCTACTTCTCCAAACTCATCTTTTCGCACAGCACTGCTCACAGCCTAGACATCTGCCATTCTAAACTACTTAGTTGTTAATCCTCTCCATGTAAAGACCTGCCGCCTTGTTTTTGAAAAAAATGGTATTTTTCTTGCCTACAATGTTCTGCCTCCCTAAAATCAAAACTTATCTTGGATCCCGCTGCTGCCATGAAACCTGCAATGCCCCTGCCTCCCTCCCATCAGGGTTAGGCAAGCCTCTGATGTGCTCTCATAGTTTGCTGGGTGTATCTCTTTGGAGCACTCATCCATCCTGTAGTGAAGTATTATTTTGGTTACTTGTTTGTCCTTTGTAGGGCAAGTACAGTGTTATGTAGTTTTTGTGCTTGGTATAAATAGTTGGAGCTGAATGTATGTTGGTTGGATACATGGATGAATGAATAACCAGGATCAGTGAACATATTCCCTTGATTGAAGGAGAGTAGCCAGTCCAGGAGTGGTACCGGGTGAATTGAGGGACTTCAGAGCCAGAAATTATTGAGTTTCTGCTTCAGTGCTTTCCCAGTGATGTCCTGGCTGTTGCTCCCCTGCTGGCATTCAGCCCCACTGTCTGGTACACCCTGTTCTCTACCTGAGACCTCCCGCATACTCAGGGGCTCTGCTTCACAGTGACTTTGGCTCCCTTGATTCTTGTGGCTACTCTCGTCTCTCATGACATCCTCCCAACTCTTTACCCACTTGTTGTCCTGACCTTTCTTAGTTCACATTCCTGAGGAAGGATGTCATCTTTTCAAGCCAGATCACATCTCAGTCTACTGGTCAGCCTGTGCATTGCCCACCTGCAGCCTAATCAGTGTGACTCCAAGAAGGAGACTCAGGGTCACGTGGAACAAAACGGGGCTGCCCAAGGGCTTCCCCTTTAGCACAGGTTTGGGAATGGGGTATTTTTCCTTTGAAGAGGCTATGGGTATTTACTTGACATGTCTTATCCGCAAAGTCACTTATAAAATGTCTTATGCTTCTTATCTACTGACAATTCAGGTCAATGTTGAATGTGAATTTATAAATACAGTATAAGCCTTACTATGTTCTCGACTCCCAGGAACAGAACTTTGCTAAAGCAAACACCACACTGTTCTGAATAGCAGTGTCCATGGCTAATTCTAAGTTTGCTGTGATTCTAGGATGGGGTGGGGCTGCTCCTGGCCTTGATTTACTTTGCCTCCCCTTTTTGTAAGGTATTGAGAATGTGAGTGGGTATATATCTCATTGATATAAGGAGAGACCTATTGCTTCATGAGTCAGAAAACTACAAAACGAGACTAGTCTTTTTCATACCTTATTTCTCCTCCCATACCTCTGCCTCATTAGGACTCTGCCCCTTTCTAAAAGGAGAGCAGGAGGGAATGGCTTCTGTGTCTCCAACTGCCAGATATCAGGTAAGGTGGAATTTTATGTCTCTGAAATACTTTTAGTCTCCAGAATGTAACCACTTTTCTTTCTCTATCCTGGAGCTTCTTTGATCAAACCTAACCAGGTGGATAAAGGACTCCCTACAGAGTGCTTCCTTCCTATTTAACTTTTATATCCTTCAGTGACCTTTTCTTGCCTTGAACAGGTACCCGTTAGCCCATCACTAGGCACACAGCTACTATGGCCTTCACTCTGAGAAATTTTGCCTAAAAGGGGTCTGATTAGAACATTTGGGGAAGAGCAAACTGGTTCTAGTCCTGACTTTCTGTAGTGTATCATGTGTGTGCTGAGAGCAGGCCCCAAGTATTCCAGGGAATGTTAGGTCAGATTAGGGAATGTGGCATATGCTTAAAGCACCTCAGCGAGGTTGTAGGAGTCCTTGGAGGGTTTGGTGTGGGTAGACATGTGGCTTGATGCATTTTTGCCCAATGCAGAGACTTGAATTCCATGTTCTCGATTAGAACTTTTGCACACACCAGAGATTCATGTGGGGGTTTCAGCATTGGGGGTAAAGAGGCAATTTTATAGAATCACAAAGCATTAGGATAAAATCAGAGGGATCCTAGAGACAGTCTAGTCAACATCAAGGATTTGTAAAAAGATAGGCAATTGGTAAAATTTGAATAAGGTTGTAGATTAGATGATAGTATAATGTCTATGCTATTCTCTTTGATTTTTATAGTTATACTGCAATTACACAAGAGAGCATCCTTGTGATTACCAAATTCACATTAAAATATTTATGAGTAAAGGGACTTCATGTTTGCAAATTACTCCCAAGAAGTCCAGGAAGAAGGTAGGAAAATGTGTATATACTGAGAGAGAGAAAGGTAAAGCAAATGTGGAAAATGTTAATATTTGGGGAAGCTGGATGAAGGGTACGTGGGAATTCCTTGTTCTGTTCATACACGTTTTCTGTAAGTCTGAAAAAAGAGCCCCTTTTATTCAGGGGCTCAGCTGTGAATATAGAGGTATGGGATTTTGACCAAGAACTTCGAGCCTTAGAGGACTGTGCCGCTTTGCCCAAGTGCTTAAAGCCCTACTTTGTTGGAACCATTTCCCTTCCTCTCCCTCCACATCTTTGGGGCTGTCATCTTTATGACAGTTTTGTCTGGCCCACATAAAGAGAACAATTATGAGTAAGGGAGAATGTGATTGTGTTTCCAGGAATCAGTGACCTTCGAGGATGTGGCCGTGATTTTCACAGACGAAGAGTGGAAGCATCTGGTCCCTGTTCAGAGGGACCTCTATAAGGAGGTGATGCTGGAGAACTATAAAAGCATTGTCACATTGGGTAAGGGGAGTTTTCCATAATAAGTTAGCCTCTGTACTGTGTAAACGTGGTGGGGCTGAGGGACTAATAAATTGATATTCCCACCTTCGGAACCACTGAGAGACAAGTAGAAGAGGATAATGATGTAGCTTAGGTGTACTGCAACAGCGAGCTTCTTAACCCTGAACCCCAGCATTGCACAGACTGGCTTGCTCCCTAAGCCATAGCAGGCTGAACAACCATGGGCTCCCCTGCAACTTGAAGGCCCTGGAGGAGCAAAGCAGAATGTGTGCCTGCTGTGGGGAGCTGACACTTGCGAAGGGGGCAGACAAAAGAGGCTGTTATATATGTCCTGCTCTTTCCCTACCTTATCAGGTGCTTTACTCATCTCCATTCAGAGGACTAGCAGTGGGACCAGGGACCATACTGTTGAGGGGCTATTTCTCTTCAGAGAAGCAGAGGAGGGGAAAGAAATGCTTCCCTTTAGAAAGACGACTGTATGAGGGTGGGAATACAAGGTTGTGCCTCAGAGCAGGTCACTAGAAATGGGTTTGATTTGAATACTTGTTTTAAATACAGTCTTAGATGCTCACAGACAGCACTTTGCAATTGTAGAGACATGTGTGACAAAGGGAAAATTAAGAATTACTGCTCATATCAGTTATTCGTGTGAAGTCAAGTTGGTCTTCTGCACGTAAGAAAGCATCTCAGGAGCTTCCATAATTAAGAGGCTGAGAAAGTGTGCAGATTCAGAAACGGGCAGCAAATGGCAGTAAAAACAGTCACATTGCTGATTTCATACGAAGCAGGTCAAAAACACAACTGGAACACCTCCTGGATTAGCTTAACAGGCCAAATATGTGAAAAGAATAGAACGTTCAAGAAGCATTAAGGGAGACTTCTGAGCCTTTGTCACAGGCTTTGGTGGGATGAAATATTGGGGAAAATAGAATTCCACTCCTCCAAAAGGAGGTGGCGACGTGGCATTTTGATGGATGGTAGAGAACCAGCATGCAACAGTTGTATGATCCTTGGGCCCAGTAGGAAAGTGCCTCTCTTCCCAAGTCAGGGGTCCCAGTGTCAGGGAGGTTTCCTCAAGAATATTTCTAGGAGGGAATCTATTTTTTTATATCACCAAAAATGGATAGATTCACTTCTAGAAACTGTCCCAAGGAAATAATAGGATTAGCAACCCAAGGTATACACAAATGTTCATCATACCAGTGTTTGGTAACAAAAACATTAAAAACAGTCTGAAATGTCTGCCAGCAGGAAATTAAATAAATGAGATTATTTCATACAGTGTAATATCATGTAGCCATTAAAATGGAGATGTAGATCTGTGCTAATTGAAATAAAATAGTACTTTAAATTTATTATTTGAAAAAATAAGGTTTACAAGTCAGCATTATTTCATTATTCAGTTTTAAACAGAATGTATAGGTATCTTTTGGTATCAGAATGGATATAAAGACAGAAAAAACTAATGCAAAGTATAAAAGGTGATTTTTCTTTGATTCACACATACCTCTCATTTTCCTACAGTGAACATAATGAAGTAACAGCTTAATACTGAAGGGTAAACAAACAAAAATGGTTACCTTTATTACACGTTTTCTCAAGATGGTCTTTTTTCATTCTCTTCCTTGATCCAAGGACTATCCCCCATCCTACCAGTGCTAACAATAGGAGTGTCCCAGTCACTTCAGGGGCAGGAAGAAACACATTCATTCAAATGCATTTTATCAACTTTGTGACTAAGTTCTGCTTGTTCCTTTTTAGAACCTCAGCCTTGACCTCCATTCAGAGGTTCCTGCTTCTGCATTACTCCATTACTGTACATTACTGGCATGCACTTTGTGTGTTTTGCTTTTTCTATATGAAAGGCATAGAGGCCAGAATTAAGATTTGGAATAGTTGTATATTTTCATCACCTACCTGGCTTATTTCTTTTCCATGAGCAGGACTTCCAGTTCCTCGACCTGATGTGATTTTTCATTTGAAGAAAGGGGATGAGCCTTGGATAGCTGATTTTCATGGAAGTGAGGAGAAAGAATGTGCAAGGAGTGTCTCTCTAGGTAATTGAGTCTGAACAGGGCACAGCAGAGCTTTGTTTTGTGGTCATTTGGGTGTGGGGGGGAAGGAGTATTGGGTCTCACCTTTTTCTCAAATTCAAATATTTTGCATTAATGTTAATTCTCTATCACCCATCAGTTTGCCTTTTTTTCCTATACCTTAAAGTATGAATCCATCTTTATTCACCTAGAATTATCCCCTTAGATCTGTCACATTACCCATTCACACTTTGATATCACTGTTCCTCACCACAACCTCCACATAACATGTTCTTCTAACTATCGTGGCCATGCTCTCAGTGGGAACTCTCTTTGTGAGATGTCCACCATCAGTTCTGTTCCCTGCCTTTTTCTTCATTCTTAAGTCTCAGTCTTTCCCTAGAACGTAGGACTATTTGTGGGAGCAAGCCATGCAGTGACTGTACCTCACTTTTCTAATTTATCATCATATCTCTTTCTTCTGCTGTAATATCTCCTAGCCCAGGGAGGAGACTACATCTATGTTTTCTGTCCATTTGCAGACTGGGAGACTAAATCTGAGATTCAAATTGCTTCAGAAAAAGAAAAATCAGAAAGAACATTGAGGGAAAGGCTTGGAGGAAAAGCTGCTCTGCATCCTAAATTGGGAGTTCATGCATTGGAGGATGAATTAGAAACAGAGAAGGAAAGCCCTGCAGTGGAGACCTGCAAGAAATCCCAGCAGGAGAGCTTACAGCAAGGGTCAACCCCTCCCAAGAAAGTTCTCGTTAAAGAGAGAGACCAGGAATGTAGTGACTGTGGAAAGACTTTTTTTGACCATTCATCCCTTACTCGCCATCAGAGGACTCACACTGGAGAGAAGCCTTATGACTGTCACGAGTGTGGGAAAGCCTTCAGTCACAGAAGCAGTCTCAGTAGACATCTGATGTCTCACACTGGCGATAGCCCCTACGAATGCAGTGCATGTGGGAAAGCCTTTTTTGACCGGTCCTCCTTAACTGTACATCAGCGGATTCATACTGGAGAGAAGCCCTTTAAATGCAGTGAGTGTGGAAAAGCTTTCTTTGACCGTTCATCCCTTACTCGACACCAGAGAATTCATACTGGAGAAAGTCCTTATGAATGTAATCAATGTGGGAAAGCCTTTAGCCAGAAAAGTATTCTAACTCGACATCAGCTAATCCATACTGGTAGGAAGCCTTATGAATGTAGTGAGTGTGGGAAGGCATTCTATGGTGTCTCCTCACTGAATAGACATCAGAAAGCCCACACTGGAGACCCTCGTTACCAGTGCAATGAGTGTGGGAAAGCTTTCTTTGACCGCTCTTCCCTTACACAACATCAGAAGATTCATACTGGAGACAAGCCATATGAATGCAGTGAATGTGGGAAAGCCTTTAGCCAGAGGTGCCGGCTTACACGACATCAGAGAGTTCATACAGGAGAGAAACCCTTTGAATGCAGTGTGTGTGGGAAAGTGTTCAGTTCTAAGTCATCAGTTATTCAACATCAACGGCGTTATGCCAAACAGGGAATAGACTGAGCTGGGTGAAAGCTTTAGTCAAAGGACCTCCATAGAAACTCAAGGTAGGTCTTCCCAATCTTAAATCCATCATTTGGTCATGCTACCTATTCTGGCTAGTGACCTTTCCCATCTCTGCCACCCAGTTTTTGAATATATAGGATGCTGGAAATTAGGATTTGACTCTTAAAGAGTCAACATTTTGCTGAAGCTTGTCAGACAATAGGATAAATGTTAGGAGGTTATCCTCAGACACACCCCTTGTCTGAGGCCCCAGGTAACACTGCACTTTAAATAACTGGAGGCTACAATAGGAGGAGAAAGCAAAATTATATGAGAGAAGCACCTTTTTTTCCAGAATAGTTCTTTTTATAGCTGTTAGTCCTCTCTTGGAGCTCATTTGGCACTGACTTTGTGTCCCAGCTGTTAGGTCTCTTACCACTCCCACTACTAGCCAGCACTTAATGAGTGCTTATTATGGGATTGTCACAGGCTTTGGTGGGATGAAATATTGGGGAAAATAGAATTCCACTCCTCCAAAAGGAGGTGGCGACGTGGCATTTTGATGGATGGTAGAGAACCAGCATGCAACAGTTGTATGATCCTTGGGCCCAGTAGGAAAGTGCCTCTCTTCCCAAGTCAGGGGTCCCAGTGTCAGGGAGGTTTCCTCAAGAATATTTCTAGGAGGGAATCTATTTTTTTATATCACCAAAAATGGATAGATTCACTTCTAGAAACTGTCCCAAGGAAATAATAGGATTAGCAACCCAAGGTATACACAAATGTTCATCATACCAGTGTTTGGTAACAAAAACATTAAAAACAGTCTGAAATGTCTGCCAGCAGGAAATTAAATAAATGAGATTATTTCATACAGTGTAATATCATGTAGCCATTAAAATGGAGATGTAGATCTGTGCTAATTGAAATAAAATAGTACTTTAAATTTATTATTTGAAAAAATAAGGTTTACAAGTCAGCATTATTTCATTATTCAGTTTTAAACAGAATGTATAGGTATCTTTTGGTATCAGAATGGATATAAAGACAGAAAAAACTAATGCAAAGTATAAAAGGTGATTTTTCTTTGATTCACACATACCTCTCATTTTCCTACAGTGAACATAATGAAGTAACAGCTTAATACTGAAGGGTAAACAAACAAAAATGGTTACCTTTATTACACGTTTTCTCAAGATGGTCTTTTTTCATTCTCTTCCTTGATCCAAGGACTATCCCCCATCCTACCAGTGCTAACAATAGGAGTGTCCCAGTCACTTCAGGGGCAGGAAGAAACACATTCATTCAAATGCATTTTATCAACTTTGTGACTAAGTTCTGCTTGTTCCTTTTTAGAACCTCAGCCTTGACCTCCATTCAGAGGTTCCTGCTTCTGCATTACTCCATTACTGTACATTACTGGCATGCACTTTGTGTGTTTTGCTTTTTCTATATGAAAGGCATAGAGGCCAGAATTAAGATTTGGAATAGTTGTATATTTTCATCACCTACCTGGCTTATTTCTTTTCCATGAGCAGGACTTCCAGTTCCTCGACCTGATGTGATTTTTCATTTGAAGAAAGGGGATGAGCCTTGGATAGCTGATTTTCATGGAAGTGAGGAGAAAGAATGTGCAAGGAGTGTCTCTCTAGGTAATTGAGTCTGAACAGGGCACAGCAGAGCTTTGTTTTATGGTCATTTGGGTGTGGGGGGGAAGGAGTATTGGGTCTCACCTTTTTCTCAAATTCAAATATTTTGCATTAATGTTAATTCTCTATCACCCATCAGTTTGCCTTTTTTTCCTATACCTTAAAGTATGAATCCATCTTTATTCACCTAGAATTATCCCCTTAGATCTGTCACATTACCCATTCACACTTTGATATCACTGTTCCTCACCACAACCTCCACATAACATGTTCTTCTAACTATCGTGGCCATGCTCTCAGTGGGAACTCTCTTTGTGAGATGTCCACCATCAGTTCTGTTCCCTGCCTTTTTCTTCATTCTTAAGTCTCAGTCTTTCCCTAGAACGTAGGACTATTTGTGGGAGCAAGCCATGCAGTGACTGTACCTCACTTTTCTAATTTATCATCATATCTCTTTCTTCTGCTGTAATATCTCCTAGCCCAGGGAGGAGACTACATCTATGTTTTCTGTCCATTTGCAGACTGGGAGACTAAATCTGAGATTCAAATTGCTTCAGAAAAAGAAAAATCAGAAAGAACATTGAGGGAAAGGCTTGGAGGAAAAGCTGCTCTGCATCCTAAATTGGGAGTTCATGCATTGGAGGATGAATTAGAAACAGAGAAGGAAAGCCCTGCAGTGGAGACCTGCAAGAAATCCCAGCAGGAGAGCTTACAGCAAGGGTCAACCCCTCCCAAGAAAGTTCTCGTTAAAGAGAGAGACCAGGAATGTAGTGACTGTGGAAAGACTTTTTTTGACCATTCATCCCTTACTCGCCATCAGAGGACTCACACTGGAGAGAAGCCTTATGACTGTCACGAGTGTGGGAAAGCCTTCAGTCACAGAAGCAGTCTCAGTAGACATCTGATGTCTCACACTGGCGATAGCCCCTACGAATGCAGTGCATGTGGGAAAGCCTTTTTTGACCGGTCCTCCTTAACTGTACATCAGCGGATTCATACTGGAGAGAAGCCCTTTAAATGCAGTGAGTGTGGAAAAGCTTTCTTTGACCGTTCATCCCTTACTCGACACCAGAGAATTCATACTGGAGAAAGTCCTTATGAATGTAATCAATGTGGGAAAGCCTTTAGCCAGAAAAGTATTCTAACTCGACATCAGCTAATCCATACTGGTAGGAAGCCTTATGAATGTAGTGAGTGTGGGAAGGCATTCTATGGTGTCTCCTCACTGAATAGACATCAGAAAGCCCACACTGGAGACCCTCGTTACCAGTGCAATGAGTGTGGGAAAGCTTTCTTTGACCGCTCTTCCCTTACACAACATCAGAAGATTCATACTGGAGACAAGCCATATGAATGCAGTGAATGTGGGAAAGCCTTTAGCCAGAGGTGCCGGCTTACACGACATCAGAGAGTTCATACAGGAGAGAAACCCTTTGAATGCAGTGTGTGTGGGAAAGTGTTCAGTTCTAAGTCATCAGTTATTCAACATCAACGGCGTTATGCCAAACAGGGAATAGACTGAGCTGGGTGAAAGCTTTAGTCAAAGGACCTCCATAGAAACTCAAGGTAGGTCTTCCCAATCTTAAATCCATCATTTGGTCATGCTACCTATTCTGGCTAGTGACCTTTCCCATCTCTGCCACCCAGTTTTTGAATATATAGGATGCTGGAAATTAGGATTTGACTCTTAAAGAGTCAACATTTTGCTGAAGCTTGTCAGACAATAGGATAAATGTTAGGAGGTTATCCTCAGACACACCCCTTGTCTGAGGCCCCAGGTAACACTGCACTTTAAATAACTGGAGGCTACAATAGGAGGAGAAAGCAAAATTATATGAGAGCAGCACCTTTTTTTCCAGAATAGTTCTTTTTATAGCTGTTAGTCCTCTCTTGGAGCTCATTTGGCACTGACTTTGTGTCCCAGCTGTTAGGTCTCTTACCACTCCCACTACTAGCCAGCACTTAATGAGTGCTTATTATGGGGTAAGCACTCGAGAGTTTTGCAAGGATATTATTTTGTTCTTTCACCAACCCTGTGAAGTAAGTACTGTTGCTGTCCTCATTTTACAGAGGAGTAAACTGAATTTTAGAGGTGTTAAATAATTTGCTCAAGGTGACACACTAGTAAAAGGTGAAGCCAAGTCCTGAATACAGGTCTACCTTCAAAGTCCATTCCCTTTACCATTATGTTACAAGGTTTGTTTTATAATTTATGTGCCTGTATTATCTCAACTAGATTGTAAGCACATGGAGGAGTGACATATCTTTGTATTTTACACAGTGCCTTGCAAATAAATAATAGATGCTCAATAAATATTTATCTGAATTAACAGCTGTCCTGCTTACCAAGTTCTATTTAAGAACACCTCCTGGATTCACATCCTTTCTCTGAATTTGCACAGTCTAGTCCATACCCTTATCATCTCAGGGTACTGCAGTAGTCACTTCTTAATTTGAATTCTTCCCTCCTCATTTTTGAAGGGGGAGGGGGATGCTAAGCCATGGTGCTATAATAAACTCCTAAATAAAGATTAATTTCTCTTATAAAATCTGATGTGAGTCAGTCTGTCTTCATCCTCATCACTTAGAACATGTTGTTTCCAAGGTCATCATGGAAAGGAAAGCTGGGAAATACTTTGGGATATTTTTAAAGGCCATCACTTCTGCCCTTATCTCTTAAATCAGAACTCAGCAACAGAAGGCTAGGAAAGGAAATAAGCACCCCAATATTTGGTTAACATCAACAGCCTCAGTCACCAGTTACATTTTGCATATTACTGTTAGGCCAGTCTTTGCAAATGACCCCTTCCTACCCATAGTTGCTTTACTCAAGACCTAAAATAGCTCTCTATTTAATGAAATCTTCTCTAAATATTTAAGGTCGGTCCTAATGTAATTCTACATTGCTGAACTTTAAGTTTCAACTCCCAAAAGTTTTCTACTCCCTGAACCCAGGCCATATTTTTATTTCATTAAAGGTCAGGTTCTAGACAACTGACTCTAGGAATCTGCATCCCCTTTCTATTTGCTTAAGGTGAAGCCCAGAAGAGGACTTGATTCTGAAAGGCTGTCTGTAACTTAGCTCACCATGCATGAATCCCAGAGGACCAAGATGCATTTCTCCTGGGAGTTACAGTCAGATTCAAGAAGTTGGAATTTCAAACAGATTCCTTCCACCCTACTAACTCTGTTGATCCACCTTTCTTAGAGCAGACAAGCAACAGGGAAGACTTTTCACATGTGGAACTTTGAAGCAACTTCATGGCATGTAAAACCTATCATACTGTTTAATAATGTCAAGTAGAAAATAAAAGGGACCATTGACAAACTTTTGGCTGATGATTGTCTCTGAGAGTTCTGAGTCTTTAATTTACTGCTTTGTTAAAAGTAACTTGAGGGCCAAGTATTTCTTTAAGATACTCTGCCATTGTAAGCATGCTGAAACTAGAATGAATTCAGAATTCTAATGGATTTTTTAGTACACTGATAATTGAAACAGAGTGGGGACATAAACTGGATAGTTCTCCCTTTGTTCCCCTTCTAAATTTGGTGTCTGCAGAGCATTTTTTTTTTAATGTGAAGTACTGTTCGATCTCCTGCTAGAAATTCTGAGGAAAGCACCATTTTACTTTTCAACATCTCCCAGTAGGACATGTAGTAGTGGAATCCTTAAATGTTGAGCTTTTAGCTTCATCTTTAATAGGATCAAATCTTGGAATCACAAATTGGTCGAATTGGAAGTAGCCAGCATTCTTAAGACATAAGGCTAACGACCTGTTAGTGTTTGTAGGACTTTAGACTAAGACTTTAAAAGTAGTCTTAAATAATCTTGCTGGTGCTTAAAGCTTTATCTCAGTTTTAGGAGAGAATTAAATACCACACAAATTAACAGATAACCTCATGAATCAACTCTTCACAGATAAGAATGAGCAATGCTAGGGAGCTCTGAGATGAAAATGTAGTAGATGGGGAAAAAATATGCAGTAGAGCCTGGGACAGAAAGTTGGTGGGGCTGCCATTCCCACTTAGCCAGCAGAAAGGTTGGACAGCTGCTGAGCTCTGCTGCACCACCACCCTCACTCTTCCACCTCTGCTTCTGAGAAAAACTTAACCTCCAAGTTTTACATAAGACACAAGTGAAGGAGGAGCTGCGGAACAAGGCTCCCACATGTCAGTAACTAGATAACATGTTGAAATGCCAGAACCATGATGCTCAGAAGTCCAAGAGAAAGAGCACAATGAATGTCAAATTCCTAAGTGGTCTACATTTCTGAGGTGGGACTCACACCATAAAAATGTGGAAGTCTGTTTAGAGATTCAGGGAAGTCAGAATACAAGGTGAGGAAGGAATTTATTAAAACAAGAGTGTTAAGAAATGACAGTATAAAGGAAGTTCATTGAACTGCTATTTGGCATGGGGCACATCCCCTGCTAACACCTTAAGCCATTGTCACCTGGTGTCCAGTGTCCACTTAGATCTACATGGCACAGGAACTGAGTTCCTACCACCCCAGGATTTGGGGGAGCTGCAGAGCACTGGATGGAGTGAGATTATGTTCTGCGAACTTCCTAGAGACAAAGAAAGTAGACTTAGGCAGGCTACTAAAGAGCATGACTGTGAGCAGCAGTTCTGTCTGGTCACTTAGGTGATGGTAATTTGCGTGCCCAGATCTGAGTTCTCAGCGGCCCTCCCTACTTGTCTGAAATAGGACAGAGAGAATGATGGTTTAAGCTGAAATCCAGAGGATTAGAATGAAAAAGCAAAGGAGCAAAGACACCACTGGAAAAGTGCAGAGACAAAACATTTCAGTTGAGCAGTGAGAAGTTTATTTAAGGCAAAAAGGTGCACACTCAGAGGAAGGGGAGTATGGGCTGCCCCAGAGAAGAGGTGCCCTGGAAAATTGGGAAAAAGTCAAAGTTATGCACTTACAAAGTACGGGCAGCCTCAGAGAGGAGCACCTTGAAAGGTTGAGGGTTCCCCCATTATAAGGATTTTTCAGGAATGTGACCAAGGGCTGGGGGTGGAACGTTCTTAAGTGGTACCCAAATATTTAAATTCAACACAATATATTTTCTGCTCTGATTTCTCCCTGAGATACCAGCTTCTTGGTTTGGGAGCATATCAAACAAGACCACCTACCTGGCCCCAAAGTTGGGCTGAGTTATTGTCTGTTTGCTAAAAAGTTAAGAATCTTAGTTCTTAACTTCCTGGGTTTTAAAATACAATCTTATCTTTAGGATGAAATTCTTCTTGACTTTTACTATGTTGTTTACAGCTGGCCCTGCTTGGTAAATTAGTTGCCCAGGTTGCAAATTACTTGATTAGGGCTGAAGGAGGAAAAACAGCATATAGGTAAAGTTAAAAATTAAGCTAGGCCTGCATGATAAACACAATAAAGACAAGGGCTATGCTGAGATACGCTTCTTCATCTGGGGAATATTCAAACATTTCCAGGCCAAGTTGCTCCAGGCTTTTTGAGCTTTAACTGATCAACTCATTAACTCAGGGTTTTGTTTTTTTTCTGGCTTTCTAATTTTAACTGTTTAATTCAGTCCTTTTTAGTGGGTTTTACTGGCCTTACTCTCTTTCCACCCCATTCATGTCTATATTCCTGCCTAACAAAAAGGTAGAAAGAAGTCAAAGTGGGCCTTGTTGAGTTAGGGAAATGAGGATCCTTAGTGAGAGTGTGTCACTGAATATGCATTTACAAGAGCCTGAATGTACTAAGGAAATGTTTATATTATATTGATAGTAGAAACTTGAAGATCATAAGGCACCAATATGGGGTATAAGGATACAGATCTGGCCCTGGAAAACAGCACATTTTCCCTCTGGAACTATTAAATACCAGATCAGTTTGGAGAGACCCTTAGCCCTATGCCTCAGTCCAGGTATTTTAGATCAATGCTGTCCAATAAGAATATAATCATAAATAAGTTTTAAAAATTAAAATGAAAGTTGAAATTAATTTTAGTATTTCATTTCATTCAAATAATTTTCATGCAGTGTCATTTCAACATATAATCAATACATAAGGTATTGACATACCTACATATTTTTTAACTAAATAAGTCTTTGAGAACAGTCACAGCACATTGTAGGTTCTCAATAGCCCCAAGTGGCTAGAGGCTCCTGTATTGTACAGCAGAGTTGTGTATAATCATCAGGAGCTGTTAAAGGGAAAAGGGAAAGGGATTATCTTAATCATTGGAGGTGGTAGAGGGATGCTTGCTTCTCGCCATGTGGCAAGCACTCTGCATCTGCAAAAAGCACTCTTCTGCTTCTAGTAGGACAAGTGTCTGGTGGGGTCCAGGCCTGAGAATCCTGTTGTCACATCCCTCAAACATATTTTTCAATAGCTTTCAAAACAGCTCTGTGACTCTTTTGTTCTCTCTGAGTTGGATCATAACTCAAGTGGGGAAGAGATGTTACTTAAAGAACCTCTAACTGTTGCAGGAACCGCGGGTACTATGAACAAGGAGTCGGGACACCAAGATGTTTGGCAAGAAGCAGTTTCTTAGTGCCAGCATCAGCTCAGCAGATTCATATCCAAAGGCTGAGCCCAGAGGGCAGCAGGGCCATGCCTTTTATACATTCATTACAAGGCTAAAGGAGAGTCAGCCCCCAGGAAATGTTGCTATGGGAGCTGTTAGTGTACTATAAGTTCATCCAGAAGCTAGTTATGTTTAACTTATTTCTTAAAATAATGGGCCTACTTGACTATGGTCAGCAAGCTGTTCCACTGGGTCCCAGTGGGGGTACATTGTTACAATGTTTTAACCTCAAACATCCTGTAATTCCTCTACATTCTTGAAGCCTCAAAAAAAAACTCCTTGACTTCCTACCTCATTCCCACCTTTGATGCTCATACCTCTTCAGAGGCTACAGAGCATCACCTGGGTCTTAAAATTGCTCATTTTGGTCTAGGGGTTTATATTTCCACAATAACAGTACATGAGCTGCCATTTTTCTTTCAGTTAAAGTTTCAGTGAGTGTGGTGTCAGATTGTAGCACTAAGTGGGCGAGACAAGGAAGGATTAAGAGTATCATACTTACCAGGGTTTTGAATCCTCCAAAGGTTGAGAACCAGCCTCCAAACAGTTCATTTGGACTCCAGCCTGCTTTCCAGGTTTGAACTGGAATGTGGGCTACTTTCCTCATTGTGTCAGTAATTTCCTCTATAACTTTCCCTTTGTCTATTTGTAAACAGCAGTTGCTAAGATTAAATTTCCCATAGACTCCTTCAGAGGCGAGCAGGTAATCTAAGGCTAAGCAGTTTTGATAGATAGCATTGCGCATTTTAGACTGGCCGGTATATTGAGAGCCTTT